TTAGGAGTAAATAATCGATTTTCGGCTACTGTTCATCATCTTCTTCCTCTGGTCAGTTTCGAGTATTATCATTTTTAATCACCAAACTTCAATTAAATTATATAGAAATGTTCTCCAAGGTTCATAGATCATTTTGGAATCATTAAAACATATTTTTAACATCAAATTCAAGGTTTATGATTCTTGGTTCTTAAATATGTCAAACACAAAACTCAACCAAATGACCATTTATGAACGTAGAAACGACCTATATGAACATTCTAGTCATTAGATATATCTACGGGCTTACCTCGGAGCGTAGTGGAGGTTTTGAAGATTTTCCGGAAAAACATCCGGCGACAATAACTCTCAACTTCGGCGACCTCACACTAAATTGACAGCACCACTGCGTTCTCCACACTCAAGGCTATCTCTCAGATCAAATTTGATGAAGAATGGTGAAGAAATGGAGGGTTTATATAGTGAGGTGAATGGAGAAGGAGACATGGAGGATGACACCAATTCTCCTGTTTTGGCGTCTCAGTGGAGGGGACGGCCGATTCCTACGATTCCAAACGCAAGTCCCTGATTGGGACTAATTTTGTCCGAGTCAGGGAACACTTTTTGGTCCAACTTTCTCCGAATTGAAATCCGTTTGCATCGTTGTGATCGTACATTTAAACTCTATCCAACGATATAATTTTTATATTTATTTGTAACACTTTTTCTGACATCATATTTTTGGGTGGTTGACTTTGACAGAGTCAAAATTGATTTAATTGACCTTTACTCAAAAAGGTGCTCATATTCAATTCATATTATTTATTTCCATGATTTATTTCAATAAATCATTTCAAAGTTCACTACATAACTAATTTCTTTATTTATTCTTGATTTGGGTCTGTACTCATGTTCCCAATCAAGACCACACAAATATTCAACATATTGGATTTATCTCTATGATATTTATCCAGATTAAGATATTGGATATCAAAACACATCTCATTTCGGCCCAAAGCCCAATAACTATTTATTTTAATCGAAACAAATTTGACTAATTGAATATTTATTCATTAAAAATTTTAGGGTATGTTTTGGGGCGTTACATTTAGTCTAGGTTGTCTTGTGTCCTTAGGTTGACTAGGTTTTCTATTATCCTGATTTTTAGGTTTCTTACGTTGAGCCTTAGATGATTGTCGAGGTGGTGGCTCAACGTTTTCTTTAACCTTAGCTTCATTTTTATTAAAACTTATTCCTTCCTTATAAAAGTGCATAGTGTCAAGAAGCAAATTTAAATCTTTGTGAGGAGTATTAAATTTCTTGACCGTGCTCTCAAGTTTAGTGACTTATTCTTTTAAAGTTTTACAAGATTAACATTCACTTGAGGAACTTTCTGGTTTGTCAGCACTTCTTTTTCCAAAAAATTGTTTTCTTGTTTTAATTTTTCATTGTCTTTTTCCAATTTTTCAAAATCGTTTTCAAGTATAGAAAGACGTTTCTTTAAAGATTTATTTGTTTTGGAAGCGCTAACAAATTCTTCATAAAGTTCATGAAGTGCTTCTTGCATGTCTTCAAAAGTGTAAGAGTCAGAAGAAATAGAACATACCTCTTGGACGTCGTCGTTTTGGTCTTCGTGCGCCATGAGGCAAAGATTTGCAACTTCGTCCTCCTCTTGCTCAGTTGATTCATCGCTGGAATCGCCACCCCAAGAGATGTAAGCCATTTGCTTCTTGAAACCGGGCTTGTCCTTGCCGTGCTTGGCTTTTGGACACCTTGATGTGGCCAATCTCACCACAGCCATAGCACTTGGGAGGACCGTCGTGCTTCCTTCCCTTCCACTCGAACTCCTTCTTCACGAACTTGTGAAACTTCTTGATGACGAGTCCAAACTCGTTGTCGTCATCGCAGAAACTTCTTCCATCGTTTCCTTGGTTGCTTTAAGTGCTATACCTTTCTTCTTTTGTTCATCCAAAGATATGGTTACAATAGTGGATTCATAAGTTTTGAGATTACCTCTTAACCCGTCGATGGTGACATTGGAATCTCCGATGGATTCGTAGATTGCATCGGCCTTTGATCTCCATTCGGGTGTGAGACTCCGCAGGATTTTCCTCACAAGATCCTTGTTGGCATAGGTCTTTTTGAGGGAATGAAGGTCGTTGATGATCTTGGAGAACCGATCGAACATGTTATCGATCTTTTCGCCTTCCTTCATCCTAAACATCTCATACTCCTGTGTTAGGAAGTCAATTTTGGCTTCCCGAACTTGATCCGAACCTTCGTATGTGACCTCCAGCTTGTCCCACATATCTTTGGCGGTGGTGCAGCAAGAGATCTTGCGATAATCATCAGGGTTGACCGCGCAGTACAGTATGTTGATTGCCTTGGCGTAGTTCTCCACCTTTTTGATGTCTTCGGCATGAAATTCGTCCTCGGTCTTTGGGACGAGTTTTTCACCGACCTTCTTAATTGGCGTTTCTTCGCCGTTTTTGATTACCAACCACAACTGGAAGTTGGTGGAACGGATATAGATTCTCATCCGTTCCTTCCAATAGGAGTAGTTGGTGCCATCAAAGAGTGGTGGCCTAGAGGTTGATTGACCTTCTCCAATTCCTGCATAAAGATTTCTAGAAGAAGAACCCATGATCGCTTTACTCTCAAACGATTAAGTTAGGACGCGAGTAAGGCTCCGATACCAATTGTTAGAAAAATAGACCAACGCTAGAGGGGGGGGGGTGAATAGCGTTTGATCTAGAAATCGCAGGAATTAAAATTAAATAGAAGAGAAGTAAAGAGAAGAGTAAGAGGCACACCGAATTTACCCTGGTTCACCACAACTTGTGGCTAATCCAGCCTCCCGAGAGACTCTCTCGAGCTACACTACTATCTCGTTAAGCTTAACGGTGCTTAACAAACCCGTACAACTTGAGAGTTCGAGTCACACGAACCTCAACGAACTTTCGAAGGAAACAACCCTTCCTTCGAACAACAAGAGAAATATTTTCTCTTGCCAAGTGTCTAAGAACACTAAAAACACTCAAGAACAATATTCTCCTTTAGAGTGGATAATGAGTAACTAAGAACGCTCAAGAACACAACACAAGCTTCACAAAAATGGCTCTCAAAAAGCTATGAATAAAGGATAAATGATTTATAATGAAAGAGTAGGAGTTGTGAAGTACTGTGATATGTAAAACAGACCCAAACACCCCATTTTATAGTGCCAAAATAGGCTCCAATGGATCAAAACATTTAAGGGGTGATTGGCTTGATTTGTGGGATTTGATTGAAATTGGATCTGCTGAAAATCAGCCAGACAGCGCTGTCCTAGGCTTGGACATCGCTGTTCTAGGCTTGGGTTTTGAAAAATGGGAAGTAAAAACCAATCATTAAAAGTTAAATATGCCCAGAAGTAAAAACCAATCATTAAAAGTTAAAAACCACTTGGTTGGTTCAGACACCAAAAACCAACGCCGGTTTCTGAAGACCGAACGCCGGATGGCTTGGGTTTTTGTTTGGGCGAACTTCAAGTGTTTTTAGGCATGTTTAAAACTTAGGAAAACATTTTTGAAAATGCAAAAAAGTATTTTGATGAAGTGAGCTTAGAGAGCCAAGTTTTGAAGGTTTGCGCCGGTCTTGATTACATTAAGACCGACACAATACAATTCTAAGTCTTCGTTCTTGATTCTTGGTTCTCAAATCATCATGCCATGTTCCTTCGCCTTGGTTTTGCTCACTTTAACCTTGTTATTGTCACGGCGTTTTGGCATTATCAAAACCTGTCATAAAACGAACACGGTTTAGTATGACATAGGCGTACACCCGTGTTCCAAGACATTATGAGCCTTTTATTAATGTGAAAAATCCATTATGATCTTTACTAAAGAACCACATAAATGAAAGAACCATAACTCCCAATCCATGATAGAATGGTGAGAAACTTTAATGATGGATAACCGGATTGGAGAATAAGATGTGTGAAGGATGATTCAATTACTTCGAATTTATAGGGGGGAAACCAATGGTTCTTGGTGAAAGAACGTTTTGGAATTGAACGGTTCTCGGTGCAATGAATTTGAACGATTTGGCATTGAATTCGGGTAGTTTAAAAGCATGCAGTGAAATGCCAAATGCATTCCAACAATTATTTTACTGAGCAATATTTTAAGCTGTGTGGGCCATCATCATCAATGCATATGTCAACAATTATTTTTACAGGGATAATAAGAAACGCTTTTATCCACCGTTCGATATACCCTACTATGTCACATCAAATCGTTTCAATTACTATTTACTGTCCCAATATTACAATTGGAAATTTTTTGAAAATAATCATATTTAAGAATTGTTATAAGAATATAAAAGAAAAAAATTATATATTTTGTATGCAAAATTTTGTAAAAAAACTATAGGAAAATAATATTTCAACCCTCCTGGTTCTCATCATCGTGGACCTCGTCATCGCGGTCCTCGCCATCACGAGCCTCGCCACTGTGTCCATCGCCAACGCGGTCCTTGGAGTCGTGGTCATCGCCACCTCCGTCCTCCTGATCCTCAGTACTCTCCACAGATATAGTTTTGGATGTTAACCTCTTGAAGTAGTTACTCAACTCCGTAATCGTTTCCCAAACAACCTTTGGAAGTAATGCTCGGAATCCAATGGGCAGCAACCTTTGCATGAACACATGACAGTCGTGACTTTTCATCCCAAACATCCTTAGCTTTGTTGGGTCAACACATCTTCCCAAGTTTGAAACATAGCCATTTGGAAATTTTATCATTTTTACCTAGTCCAAAAATGCTTTACGCTGCCTCTTATCCAATGTGTAGTTAGCCTTAGGGTACTTTCCGGTTTGAGGATCACGCTCCAACTCTTTTCTTGAGCAAAACAATTTCATGTCTTCTCTTGCCTTTGCATTGTCTTTTGTCTTGCCCTGTACATCCATAACGGTATTGAAAACATTTTCAAATACATTCTTTTCAATATGCATAACATCGAGATTATGGCAAATCATATTTGTCTCCCAATAAGGCCAATCCCAAAAAATACTCTTCTTTCTCCATCCACAAGAAGTATCCTTCACAATCTCTGAGTTAATGGCATCACCATTTTCGTCCATGATCCTCCGCATGCCCAAACCTACAATTTCACGTTGTGTGTCTTGACCATTTTTTCTAATGGGTGGCGCTATCGTCTCAACCGTATTTTTGATAAACTTCTTCTTATTTTTTCTATAAGGATGATCCAGGGGAAGAAAACGTCAATGAGTGTCAAACCACGACTGCTTTCCTCCAGTAGGTAGTCGAAATGACTCAACTTCATCCTTACAAATGGGGCACGCTATCTTCCCGGCCGTGCTCCACCCAGACATCATTGCGTATGCAGGGAGATCACCGATTGTCCACATGAGGGCAACACACATTTTGAAATTTTTCTTGAGTGACACATCGTAGGTCTCAACACCTTCACTCCAAAGGGTCTTTAGCTCTTCAATCAATGGCTGCAAGTAGACAACAATCTTCTGCTTCGGATTAGACCTCCTAGGAACAATTAAGGACAAGAAAATATGTTCTTCTTTCATGCACATATCAGGGGGGAGATTATAAGGGGTAATCATTACGAGCCAACATGAATATTGGGACCCTGACTGGCCAAAGGGCTGAAACCCATCCGTGCATATTCCAAGGCGCACGTTGCACATTTCTGAAGCAAAAGAAGGATGGTCTGCGTCAAATCTTTTCCATGCTTTAGAATCGCAAGGGTGACACATTTCATCTTGGTTTGTGTGTCGATGTGTGGCATGCCACCTCATTGCCTCCGCCGTACGGTTGGACATATACAAGCGTTTCAACCTCGGTGTAAGCGAAAAGTAGAACATCTGTCTGTGCGGAATCTTAGACGTCTCGTCTTTATAGCGTGTCTTATGACACACCTTGCACTCGGTAAGACTTTCATCGCCTCTCCAATATAACATGCATCCAAGAACACAACAATGAATCTTTTGGATTGGAAGACCCAAACCTTCAATCATCTTGTTAGTTTCATAAAAGTCATTCACCATTGAGTTGTCCTCTGGAAGAATGTCTTTGATGTATTGACATATGGTTTCATAACAACGCTCGGATAGATTATGCTATGACTTAATATTCAACAAGCGTGCAACGGCAGACAATTGAGATGTCTTAGAACTCTCGGGCCAAAGATCGGTATCAGCAGCTTTCAACATTTCGAAGAATTGCTTGTGTGTCGAATTTGGCTCTTCTTCAAGAACAGAGTTGATCCTATTCGGGCCGACTGCATCATAAATCATGTGTATAAACTCTTCTCTACCCGAGACCTATGATACATCTGAGGCATCAGCTTGACGAGGGACTTTACATCGTTGTGGAGGTACGTAGTCACCATTATTCTCCCCGTGACATACCCAATCAAAATAATTGGGTGTGAATCCAAATCGCAAAATGTGCTCCAGCATATTCTTTGATGAGCAAAACTTGATGTTCTTACATTTCTTGCAAGGACAACGCATTTTCTTGTTATCCAACCTATCTACATTGGGAATTGACTCAAAGTAGTCTACAAACACCTTCTCTCTCATATTTCTTATACATCAACTCACGATTTTCGAATGGACTCATTTTAGAAACGCTTGGTAATTGAAAGGCAGCAAATAATAATCATTTAACCAAGAATATCAACCACATTTATTACCAACAAACCATAGCAACAATAAAGGCGGCTAACAAAGGACAATCTTATTAGACCACAAACAACAATCATTTAACTACAGATATGAACGTATAATGCACTCAATTTCACAAAATTCAACTAAATTTTACCTAAATCTTCAATAAACGTCTAATTCACTAACACAATTTCAACTAAAATTACACCTTAAATGCAATCAATTCCACCAAAAAGTAATGCAATTTTTACCCAATCTTATGTCAATTTCATCTCATATTCACACAATTTCAACTAAATTTCACCAAAAATGCACTCAATTTCACACAAACAAATTCAATTTAACCAAAAATTACAATAATAATAAATTGTATAAAATTAAACAAAAATACCTTCAAGTTCATGGCAAAGAGGAAGAGGAGGTCTGGCGGGGGAAGAGAGACGGCTGGCAGTGGAGTACTATCGGAGGCGACAAGGGGTGGCGACGGCTAGTGGACGGGGCGGCTGAGGGGACGGCGCGGCTAGGCAGGACCGCGTGCCCGCCGCGGCTGGAGGGTCTAGCGTGGCTGGCGAGGGCGGCGCGACTGGCGAGGACGTGCGCCGGCGGCAAGGACGGGCGTCGACGGCTGGCGGAGGGGTGGCGTTCGAAGGACGGATGACAGAGAGAGAGAGAGAATTGTGATTAGGGTTGAAGGACGAATGGTTGGGAAAAAACCAATCTCGATTTTTAGTAATTCCCTGTGACGGATCTGCGATGGAATTAAGAGTCCATCGTAGGTAATCAGGTCAAAATTTGACCAACTTGAATTTGCGACAAGAGAAAATATTCCTTCGCTGATTTGCGACGGAAAAATAAAGTCTGTCGCAGATTTTGTTTTTTTCCATGGAATATACTTTCGTCGTTGATTCGTTGCAGATCTGCTACGGAAAAGGGTCCGTAGCAGATTTCCTTTGCAGACCAGACAAATTCTTGTAGTGATAGGCTCATATTTATTTTTTGTTTTTGGTCTAACTCATCTAATAATAGATTTGGTCGACCAAGTTTATTAATGGTTGTCGTCATATAGGGTCCAAGAACAGGTTTAATAACTTAAGATTAGTTTGGTCGACAAACAAATTCTATAGGAAATAGCTTGAGATCAAAACAACATTCAAAGTTAATACCAACAAAAATACATTTAAGTCATCCAAATATCAAAGATTTAACAATTTTAATGAAAACAAATTACATTGAATTATCATTGTCTTCTTCTGCGCTACTTTGGCTTGAATACAAGGCAGGAAGGATCTGTGCACCGTTGGGAGAAAACACCGTGAGGAAATACATGTTAATTACCACAATGGTATTGGAAATGCAAGATAAATCCCGACATTAACTGGTGCAATTCTAGGATGGTCGTCTAACCGTTTCTCAAAAAAGTAGTGGAAGATGTGCGGGAGATGGCGACTCGCATGATAGTAGGGTTCAGACCCGTCACTATCATCAACTCGTTCAAGTTCTCCATGCTGTCTACAACCGATTTAGGGATGCACTAGGGAGTAATGTGAAGAAATAGAACAATAGTTAAATATCTAATCCGGAAGAAATAGAAAAATAGTTAAACATCTAACTACGTAATAAGAATTTGTTGAAAGACACTTACGAGTCGAATCCGGAAGAAATCATCTTCCTGCAGCAGAGTAACAAAAGTTTGCGGCATTTTTTGAGGCTGAGGCCGTCCCGTCGTTCCCTGTTCCTGTAAAATTTATGATTCGGACGGTTAGACACTTAGAGAGAAGATTAAAAGCAGATAAGTTTTTAAGTTAGATGCGGAAAAGAATTCTAAGATCTGGAAAGAACCTTTCGCCTCCTCTCCCAATTTTTTATTTTGGCGTCCAAAGTTTTTTAACACCCCACTTGGCCGCCGGGCCTCTAAGATCTCAACGGTAAGATTTACTCCCAACTTAAAATCCAAATATTTAACATAATTACGGTTTAAATTACCATAAATACAATAACAGGGACCTTATTGAAGAAAAGCATTTATAACATAAATAATTTGTACATAAATACAGAGTAACATAAGTAATATAATCCTCTAATTAATGGTATAAATTTATAATTTTCAAACATAATTTTTTAAATATGTACATAAATAGATAAATAATATAAAAATTTAATATATTGTGCTACTAAGCGGGAGAATTCAATACCTTCCACTTTCATATTATATGGTAATATATACTTTTGTCCTTTTCATTGTTAGGGAGATCGAATACATGCACAGATCAGAGATTCAAATATACGCACTTTCAAAGAAAATTTGAAAGAATATAGTGCTTCTTTACTGCTGAGAATCAAAGTAGTATTGATGAGAATCCAAGAATTTTTTATATCATTCAAAAATGATCTTAATTTAGTAACACAAATATGACCCATGCAACGCACGTGTGTGATACTAGTTTTTGTAATTACATAATGAATCCTCAAAAAATGAGTAATTTTTTATTCATAAATTACCAGACGTCAATTGGTCTACATAACGTTGAAAAAGTAATCATTCCGACCTGACGTTGATTGGGGAAGAGCGTGACTGGTTACCAATTACCTCGTGGTCATCGAATGGCTCAGGTCTCATGACTGGTTGTAAATATTTCGGTTAGTTTAGTTTCGTGGACCCTATAATTTAGTTATTGTTTAGTCAGGTGTTATCGAATCGTTCAGGTGTCGTGACTGGTTGATCCGTGAGGTGTCGCGTTGTGTCTGGTTACCGACTACCTCAAGCGCCTCATCGAATGGCTCAAGTGTCATGACTGATTGATCCGTGAGGTGTCCGGATGTGTCTGGTTACCGGCTACCTCAAATGCCTCATCAAATGGCTCAGGTGTCATGACTGGTTGTGACTATTTTGCTTAGTTTACTTTCGTGAACCCTACTTTTTTAGTTATTGGTAGTCAGGTGTCAACGAATGGTTCGGGTGTCATGATTGGTTGATCCGTGTGGTGTCCGGATGTGTCTGGTTACCGACTACCTCCAATGCCTCATTGAATTGTTCATGTGTCATGACCGGTTGTGACTATTTCGGTTAGTTTAGTTTCGTGGACCTTACTTTTTCAGTTATCAGTAGTTATAACTATTCCAAAGATTTTTTGAAATATTATTCCCGCGTACGAAATATTTATTTTTACAATCTTCAATTGGTGTGACTTCTTGATGACTGGTCACGACCTTTGACTCCCACCGCCGTCTAAGGACACTTGTTGGGAAAATATCATAGATTTTGATGATGATGTATTTAGAATGTAATAGGGACTTTAGGTCTCCCCAGATATTTAATGTAATTTTTAGAAATATTGTTAAAACCAAGTTCTTGAGATTTCCAATTAAGTTGTGATATCTCTTTAAATGGTTTGATGCCTGAAGACTTAATCAAATTCAAAAAATTTGGAAATTGGATATCTTGATCGAAAATATCAGAGACAAGTAAGGATTTCTCAAAGCAGACAAAAATCCTCCTATCTCGAATATTACAAGAGAACCGGATGTCTCGTTACAACCCGCTGAAGGCTAAGTCGGAAGACTAGCGCGGATTTCTTTCTCACCAGGAAGACTAAGTATGACTCTTCCGGATTTGTCAGCTAAGAACCGGATGCCTCAGGGAAGACCGGAATTCTCAAAAAGCGGACAAGTGAGAAAAGACTTAGAAAATTATCTAAGTTTTGAATGAAGAAATTCTACCCGTTGGTAAGGAAAAATCAATCTCTTGATTTTCAAGGGCTAGATTGAAGATAATTATGCTCATTCAAGAACAAATGACTCGAAGACAAAGTCTGGACCTCTAAAAATTGAAGAACCTGTCCAGAATTCCTAAACAAGCACTAGAAGACAAACAGAGTAAAGTTCTACAGTCCAGAATACTTGAACAACAGCTAGAAGATGGATTCTATGGAAAAAGGAATCTCTCCTTTAACAATTGGGTATGTCCAAACACCCATTCCAATGAGGAATCTTCAAATCACAATCTTCATTCAAAATTGAAGCCAGCAAATGCAACGGATAGTCTATTTTGATTCAACGGATAGATTACGCAATCCAGCTATAAATAGCATCCTTGGAAGAATGAAAAAAAGGAGATACAACAACTCATCAACGATAAGAAGAACAACCACAAGAGGCTACCTCATTCACAGTTAGCCCAAAAAGCTTCATAAAGAGAGATTTCTAAACTCCTTATCCAGAAGCAAACTTCTCCTCCTTTCAAAAAGCTATAGTGTAAACACTTGAAGGTTTCCTTGCCTCAAGTACCACACCACGTTGAAGATACAACTTTTGATCAAACTTATTGATTGAAAGGGGGTAGGTCAACTTTCTTACAAGTTGGTCTTGCAAGTCCTACTGTTCGGACCTTGCAGTTGTTGAAGAAGCGTGACCTTCGAAGGAACAACAAAGCCAGCACGAGTGCAGTAGCAACATTGGCCTTGCGAAGATATACCGTGCAGAAATTCACACAAGTGTAATTGTTGGTTCATTATTCAACAACCAACTACATAGTGGATTTTGAGGACGTAGAAGGATTACCCCACCTTCGAACCTCGTTAAAGTTTGCGTGTCTCTCTCTTTTATCTTNTCTCACTATCTACTTTTAGATTAACGAGAAGCGATCATAATGGTGAACAATATGGATCACGGTTTGCCCAAGTTTTCTCTTCTAGGTTATGATGATTGGAAGATCATGATGGAAGCACATCTCTACGCTCTACATGATTGCATGTGGATGGTGCTTGAGGATGGACCCTTGAAAATCCAAATGGAGAACCCTGAGAGGAATCCAGCTGCTCCAGATGTAGTCCAGTACATCCCAAAGCCCAAAGAAAAATGGGATGATAGAGATTGCAAAAAGCACAATCTGGACAACGTCGCCAAAGCAGCCATCTTCAAGACACTTGATCCCATCACCTTCTCCAAGATTAAGCATCTCAAAACTGCCATGGAGATTTGGCAAGGTCTTGGGAAGCTATGTGAGGGATCAGAGGACCTGAGAAAGCAGAAGATAGAAGTCCTGCTTGAGAAGTTCAAAAGCTTTAAAATGCTTCCCGGAGAATCATTTGATATGTTGGATGAAAGATTCCACAAACTATTGAATGATCTTGCTTCACTTAAACACATTCTTTCTCCCAAAGAGAAGAATGTAAGGTTGCTGAGATCACTCCCAACTGAGTGGTACACCAAAGCCACTGCCATGGAAGAAGGAAGAAACCTGGAGAACTACACTGTTCAAGGTCTCCTTGATGAACTCAGAACCTATGAGCACGAGCTGAAGAAGAAGAAGGAAGAACAAGTCACTCCCTTCCCCACGGCATTGATGACAACTTCAAGAATTCCATCAAGTGAAGGGACATGCACAAGAAACTATGACACACCTTCCTCCAGCCAGCCGTCAAGCTCAAAAATGGAGAACTACGATGAGGAATTTGCCATGATGGTCAAACAATTCCGGAAGTTCAAGAAGTTCTTCAAGAAGGCTGATTCAATCAGAAGGCCATCCAAGGGAAAGCCACAGGTAAGTGACTCCCTCCTGAATCTTATTTATGCTATAACTGCAGGAAGCCTGGCCACTGGAAGTCAGCATGCCCGTACCCAAAGGTGGAGAAGTACGGAGAAAGAGAAAGGATCGAGAAGAAAAACAAAGCAATGGTTGCTGCTGAAAGTGACGAGTCATCCAGCTCAAGCTCGGATGAAGAAGCCCTCGTCTGCATGGAGCGCAGAGTTGAGAAGTCCAACCATGAGGATAGGTGGACTACGTCAGAAGATGACACTCTCTACCTAATGGCCAAAGATGATGCTGATCGAGAGGTAACCTCACAAACCTCCTGCTCATCTTCTTATAGCATACCAACTTCTGAAAATCTTTTTGACCAGTTCAAAAAGATGATGAAAGACTTTGAGGAGATAAATCTCAAACATTCATCCTAAACAGAAGAGAACAAACTATTGAGTGAAGAGAATCTCAAGTTGACTGAAAGTCGGAAAAGTCAACTAAATGAGATCACTCAACTCAAGACTGAAAATGAATCTCTCTCTGAAAAGGTGAAATCCCTTAACAAAGAGCTAGGGATACTCAAGTCCCAAGAAGCAGTGAACAAGCTGCTTGAAACGACCAAACATAAGGGTCGCAAAGGACTTGGGTTTGACCCCTCTAGTTCCAAAAGGAAAGGGAAGACAACTTTCATCCCTCCTAAACCTATTGCCAAACTTAATAAGCAGAAAGGGAAGGAAAAGGAGAAACCAACAGAAGTTCCCAAAAAGGTAGTCCCTCCTAAGAACTATAGGAAGCTGGACAGACCTCAAAAAGGAAACAATTTCAGAAGAAAACCTTCTAAATCCCAATATACACGAGGCTATACTCATTATGGGGAAGACAGAAGTTTTCCGAGAAATTCTGAGTGGAGAACTATGCCAAGATATAGTCATCCTCCACCCCAAAAACTATTTGTGCCACCTAAGTATGCTTATAACCAACACAGGTCACACTATGCACAACCTAGACAAAACTATAGGTCTTATCAACCTAGGTTTGCTAGGAGGAAACAGGAAATTGCACCTCCTGCACGTAGGAAGTTTTATGCCTACAACTATGATTACAATCCCAACAAGTTTAGAGCTGCAAGGAAAATTCCCTGCAACTTCAAACTTGATGTAGGGACACACACCATTAACCATTCCGGACCCAAACTGAAATGGGTACCAAAATCTTCCTCCTCCTAATGCAGGAAGCCGCTAAGTACCCAGGTTTCTGGTACTTAGACAGTGGCTGCTCAAGACACATGACGGGTGATGCGAGCCTTTTGAGCAATCTATTTCCCTATGATGGTCCAAGAGTTACTTTTGGAGGAAGCAACGATTTTAGCCTTACTAAAGGGCTAGAAAATCTGGTGTACAAGGGACTAACCATCCAAGCTGTATCTTATGTTGAAGGACTCAATTATAACCTTCTTAGCATAAGTCAGTTTTGTGATAAAGGTTACTCCTTGGAATTCTGCAAGGACATGGCATCTCTCAAGAACATCACCACAAATGAAGTCATTCTCACTGGGAAGAGAATCAGAAACATTTATGAAGTGATATGGAACGATGTCAAGGAAGCATGTTTAATCAGCAAAGGTGACACTAACCTTCTATGGCTTTGGCATAAGAGGTTGAGTCATCTCAACTTCAAAACTCTCAACAAGCTATCCAAAGAAGGGTTAGTAGAAGGCCTTCCCAAAGCTGTATTCAGGAAGGAAAGCATTTGTGATGCTTGCCAGAAAGGAAAGCAAGTAAAATCTACTTTCAAGGCAAAACCGGCACCCTCAACTACAAGGACATTAAGTCTTATCCACATGGACCTATTTGGCCCTGTTACACCAATAAGTCTAAGTGGAAAGAAATATGTCCTGGTGGTAGTTGATGATTACTCAAGATACACGTGGACGATCTTCCTCAACAGCAAGAAGGAGACTCAAGGGAAACTCACCAACTGCATGAAGCTGATTCAAAACCAAGCAAGTCAGACCATTCAGAAGATCAGATCTGACAAAGGCACAGAATTCCTGAATGAAATCATCATTCATTATTGTGAAGAAAACGGAATTCTTCATCAGACATCCGCAGCAAGGACTCCTCAACAGAATGGTGTAGCAGAAAGAAGGAACAGAACCCTAAAGGAAGCAGTGAGAACAATGTTAGCGGAAGCTTCCTTACCAAAGAGGTTCTGGGCTGAAGCTGTTAACACGGCTTGCTATACTCAAAATAGGAGTATGATTTATAAAAGGCACAACAAAACTCTCTATGAACTATGGAACGGGAGAAAGCCTAATATATCATATTTCCATATTTTTGGGAGCAAGTGCTTTGTGTTAAACAACGGGAAGAATCATCTGAACACTTTTGATGAGAAATCAGATGAAGCCATCTTCCTTGGATACTCTATGGTGAGCAAGGCATTCAGAGTTTTCAACAAAAGAACCATGATCACGGAAGAGTCAATACATGTTATTTTTGATGAAAAACATGTGTTTGACAAGCCATAAAAGCATGATCATGAGGTTCTGGATCTATCTGACAAGGATGACGAAGTCAATGAAGGAGATAGAATGAAGCCTACGGAGTTCATTCCATTAAGAAGTCTACCACTGAAGACTTCACAGAGAAATCCGGATTCAAACAGTGTTGAGCCTACCGGAAATCTTGGCCAGCCTTCCAATATTCCGGATCACTCAAACGACGACAATTCCGGAAATGGCGACCCAGTGCCAATCCATCCGGAAACACCAACTTCTGTTCTTCAACCAAAAGCTGAACTAGATCAACCAGTCAATCCTAATCAACACAATCTTCGTTGGTTAAGGGATCATCCTCCCCAACAAGTCATTGGAGATATTCAATCTGGTGTTCGCACAAGAAGTGCTCAGCAAAATCTAGAAACTATGCTTGCTTGTTTCATCTCACAAGTGGAACCAAAGAATATTGAAGAAGCTCTAGCTGATTCTGATTGGATCAATGCAATGCAAGAAGAACTCAACCAATTTTCCAGAAATAACGTCTGGAAACTTGTTCCCAGACCTACTCATCAACATGTCATTGGAACAAAGTGGGTCTTCC